GAGGACAATACTCTGGCATGCAGGCGAGCAAAGTCTAAATTTAGTTGCTTTAAAGAAAATCGTCTAAAGCCTACAGAACTATTCCACCAAATGCACATTCCCACTGATTGATACAAGCAAATAAAATAAACACAAATAAAAAAATATATAAGTACAGAGACACAATAGCGTAAAAACTAGACCAACAACCACAATGAGCAGAATTATAGCTTTGTTTTTCCACATTTGAAAACTAGAACTGGGTTAATATTGCTTCGCAATGTCATGTTACAAAACTGGGAGTGATCATTTATCTGACGGGAGTTCAACGATCAAATATTGTGATTAAAAACGTCAAATTGTTCCCTATTAGAGATGCCAGATGAATATTCTGTCACAGCCCACATGGCTCGGTAAAACTAGTGCACGTTTTAAAAACTGATCGGCCAACACTTATTGCAAGCAGTGCCTGGACAACACCCTCACAACCCCCCCCCACCACCACCACCAGCCCAGCTCTGTACCTCCTCTCCTCACTGATGCCAGCGCCCACGCCTTCAACAGGCAGGTGCTCAAACTCATTCATAGTAAACCTGCTGCTTTACGGGTGGTTTATTACAAAAGAGTTTTCACTGAGCTGTGCCCCCCTGAGGAGGCGTGCGCGCCGACTATTTCTTAAAAAACCTACATCTTCATCTGATCCGCAAAAACCACAGGGGGCGCAACTTCTGCAGCAGTCACCGTGCCAACGTCACCATATTTCTCTCCATGGTAACAGGGGGTCCAAGGGCAGTGCTAATGCTTATTGTCAATTCATTTAATCCAGTGTTAAAAATGCATAAAAACAGGAAACAAACACTGCTAAATAGTAGAGACTTTTAAGATGGGTATACTTCAAATACACACAAGAGTAATATAAATCTTTTTTTTTTTTTTAAAAAGCCTACAAATTCAACTCATTGCCTATCACAAACCGCTTTTAAACAAATCCCCACACGATCCCCGATTGTCTCCATCCATCGGATCAAAAACCAACCGTTACCAGCCGGGTGATGCACGAGGCGGCAGATCTCTTTAACCTGTTGGAGTGCTACACTTAAAATACCTTGAATCTGCCGCTAACTGTTACTCGCGTCAGAATCTACAGAGGAAGCTGGATTTCATCCGTCCTGGGGCCTACGTCTTCTCACCATTAGCCAGAATGCTTAAAAGAAAAAAAAAAAATTCCAACCCAAAGCTCTACTCCTTAAAACCTGCAGCCCGACAACCGAAGTCTATTCCTGAAGTCGCTCTAGTAACTATATAACTGGCTTTGCTGCCATCCTTAAAATTTCATCACAATAGTAACAACATTGACAACAACGATAACAACAACAACATCAATGGTAAACTACTAATTCTAAACAGTTTTTTTTAAGATAACCACAAAACATCTTATATTAAACTTTTACAAATCTGCTTTGTTGATTCATATGTATAAATGCATAAAGGTAAGAGAGATTGAGAGTGCCCTCTGTTGCTTGCCTAGCGTCCCGGGTCAGTGCAATGAGTTGGCCAGTATTAGCAAAGGAGACCTCGAAAAAAATAATAATAAATGTTGGTTTCCGGCCCTTAAAACTACTATTAGAAAAAAAAAAAAAGAAGAAAAGCAACGTCCAGCAATGTCATCATATAATCTTTCAGGTAATCAGGTCCAAGGAAAAGTAAGATCCTGCTCTTCATACAGAAAGCAAGGCTGATAAAAACCACACTCACTGTGTCTAATGCTTTCGGCCCGGTCACAGGCCAGACCCACAGTTACTCCTGCTACACGTCACACCTGCCTTCACTTCCTGCTCGAAATGGATTAAGCTACGTAGTTTTGATCTGGGACTCAATGATGTTTCGAGGCACAAAAGGAGAAGCCGGCGCCCAAAGATGCGACTCGTCTGTGCATCATCAGCAGCAGGCGAAAACACACGCACGCATGTTCAGTAACTCAAAACATTTCAAATTAAGAAGTGACGCAGGTCTTGATAGAAATACCCACCACCAGCCTCTGCTGAGCCAGTTTACGTCATATGTCTCAAAGTTTCTCTAGAGATGTAAATATATGCTTATTTGTACTGTATGTGTGAATATAAAAACAACAAATCTGAGGCATTTACAGCAGTTATCTCCTTGATTTCCCTTTACAATTCAGTGGCCTGCCATGAAACACATGCACACACAAACACTCTCTCATACAGCAGTACATGTATATATACAGAGATGCGCACACACACGCACACACACACACACACAGACAGGTACACACACAAACACACACCTTTGCGTATTCTTTGCCAAGATGGGAGGAAAGTAATAATGGGCATGGACACCCTGGTCACCTCGCTTGTAAAAGACCGTTGAGGAGAAAAAGTTAAAACACACGCTCATAAAAAGGAAAAATATATATATGTGTATATATATATATCATTCTCAAAAGGTCGACTCCCCTCCATCTCTTTTCATGTCCCTCCCCACGACCCAATAAACCCAAGACCTTGTGACAGATTTTGCCCAAAGGGGCTTTGAGGTAAAAGTAGATAAGAGTCCTGCTTAGCTGGGAGAGCTGAAGAGCTGCGCTGACACAGATGGTGCCAGTCCACTCCCCCGCTCAGTGTATCTTACAAACGCAAGAGTGCAGACATTCAAATAGAAAAAACAAAAACAAACAAAAAGAAATAATGGCTCAACTTGTAGGTGTGGATGGTTTGTTTTTGTTTTTTCTTGTTTTTTTTGTTTTTTTTCCTTTCGTGCACTGTGAAGCCTCTCTCGGGGGGGGGGGTTCACAGTGCTGGATTGCTGGTTAGTAAGGCGACTCGGTTTGGGAACGCTGGTTGGAGATTGTTCCGTGAAACAGAAACCGCTGCGACGTTGAGACGCAGCAGATTCTCCCGTCCAAGAGTCGCTTTGGTGCAGATTCAGAAAAAATGTAGAGTGACTATGAAGATAGGGAGACGGATTACATGGAGAGAGAGAGAGAGATGGGAAAGGAAGAGAGAGACTGGCAAATAAGAGATATAAAGAGAGGAGAAAAAGGGGGAATCTGCGGGTGGACTGGCTGACGTGCTCGATAGCTCAGGCGAAGTACATGGTGTGCTGGGTGTCATAGTGGATCTGAACAGCCTTGGCCAGTGCCTGGGGGTCTCGGCCGTTACTCTGGCCCGACACGTGGCTGCCTTCGGCGCTGCAACACAGAGAAAGGCGGGGTTTACTGTGACGCCTTCAGGAATTATATTTTCATCACAAAAACCGCAGGAAATGAAATTTAGAGGGGTGAAAACAAGAATCGGAAGCTGTGTCCAGTTCGGAAAGTGGAAACTTTTTGTTACCTGTCATGGTCTTTGTCCACCAGGTGGTAGCGAGCTCGAAAAGCCACCAGCCTGGCGTAGTAGGCCGGTGCTGGGATGGAGACTGAGCGGGTGCAGCGGACGTAAGTGTGGCACAGCTGGTAGGTGAGGAGCTGCAGCTCGTCGGCCGTGAAACAGTTGTCATCCCACAGGACGTGGTAGTGGGAGGGACGACTGGTTCCCTGGGGAAGCACGGAACAAAATATGTAAATACTGCGACAATAATTAATGTCATGTGAAAAGAGCCTGTTTGCTCTAATCTTTACAGCCATCTTCAAAACTTATGAAGGGGACAATTGTTTGATACTGAAAGCGAGTTTGTAGACGGTGCATTGCTTTCTATCTGGTGGGTCGAAGAAGAATCCGAATCATGCCGTTTATTCTCATTAAGCATCATTACTGCAGTAACCACAGAGCGAAATTGCCATTTTGAGGACAATTCATCGACCGTAATTCATATTTTAATTGCGTGTAAATGTGCAAAATCCCTGCACCACTCCACAGCTGGAACGGTGCAAGAATCTAAATTCTTTAGAGTGCAGTTTATGTCAGGTCATCTGTAAAAGTCACCTGAATCCCAGCGTGGCTGCACAGGTAGAAGTCAAACTCGGACGGGTGCGTGATGGTACTGTCCACTGTGGTGCCGGCCGGGACATTACCGCTCTTCCCAACCTGCAGGGGGGAACAATCCGTGAGATCATAGTTGTAGAAAAACACAATATCACACGTGATGGCAGAAATAAACCTCACTGACCCTCTCGGCTTTGTCGGAGCAGAAGAGACGAGTGTGGTGACGTTTCTGGACCACGATGTAGGTAATGCCCGGCCGATAATCCTCCTCCAGACTGATGCAGGCCTTACGGATGGCTATCAGCTCTGGCCACGCCACCTGAAAACACATCCAAACAGGATTTGCTCAACCAAACTGTCAAATACAAGAAAAGAGTAAAAGATAAGCGGTGAAACAGAGACATGCGGCCAGCCTCTCACCTGTTTCATCTGTCCCTCAGACACGCCGCCACGGTAATAGATGATGCGTGTGGGCTTGAAGCGCGTGGACTTGTAGAACTGGATGAGCAGCTCACGCACCATGTTGGTCAAATCTTGAATTACCTCCTGACTGAAGAGCTGCTCCTGGAGAGACAAAGGAGGAGGGGGGGGGGGGGGGTTAACAGTTAACAAAAACACAGAATTCACCTTAACAGAAAAGTGAACAATAATTTACTTATGTAAAAGAAAAAGCTGCAATTCCTCACATTCACACATTTCTGTCAACTACCAAGCGAACTAGAACATGACCTCTTGTCGGAGGTAGTTACATTTTTTCATTCTGTTATGTTTGTAGTTTGTAAGTACGGACCGTTGTTACTTGGGATATGTCCTGTCGAGACGTCTGGACTCGCACCGTCGCACAGTATCTGCTGGGGTGTCCGTCCATGCTGCCCACCACTGCTGCGATGGACGGCTTCTTCCCATCGCCGGCTGGAGGATGTGTCACGTCGGCACCGAGGAAGATGACGGGCTGCTGGAACACAGAGGGCCTGAACCGAGAAAAGAAAAGAGCTTCACATTTCTTATTCAGAGTCTAAACTAAACACAATTCTGGAGAAAGACTGAAATGTCATTATACTCTCAAAAAGAAACTGCAAAATTTATATGACAATTATGCAGATTTTTTTTTTACTTCCAACTCTGATTGCTCTTTCCCACATGATTACCAGCGAACCATTTGTATTCAGAAAGCATCCAACAACCAATCTCTCATCTAAAGCCAAGACACATTCCAGAATCCCATCTGCCCAGCGACGAAGAGATGACAAAATCCATGCTGACCTCTGATGAGGCACCAGGACGTTGTTGATGCCTCCCAGCTTGGCGTTGATTTTGAGGCAGAGGTTGGAGAGGGTCTGGGGGGACGTCTTCACTACGTTCTTCACCTGGACGCACTGGGTGGCCATGCCGAGGAGGGTGTCTCCCACGCGCTTGACCTCAGCTGCAGATAGAGACGTGGATCACAAAGATCAATATCTTGTCATTTTAAAACTGTTAAAAGGTTAATATTGAAAAACAAACATGCAGCCCTGTTTCCTTATCTCATTCACTGAAATGTAAACTTGTGAAATTTTAACTTTTTACCATAGACGGGGGTTTTGCCAGGCAGAATGACCACAATCAGCTGCAGACCAACGTAAGACATTTTGAGGTGTTTGAACATGGGCTCCACGCTGTCAGCTCCTTGGGCGTATTTACAGAAACATGGCTGGCCTTGAATGGGCATCCCAGCATCCTTTGAGATCTTCCGAAGCTGGTCAGTGAAGCTCCTACAGGAAATCAGCAACAATCATCAGAAATCAGAAGTACGAGCGTAAACAGAGACCGCCAGGTGACCGTTCATGTGCTTCTACTCTTTGTAGAATTGTTGTCAGAGATGTACAAATATGGTATGGGGTGATGTGAAAACTTTTGTTTTACAGAATTAACAATGCAGAAAAGATGTGAATTTATGTTTAGTGTTTGAGAGTAAAGTCCAGGACTCACTTGAGCAGGTCCTCCCGACACTGTTTCTGAGGGGCGAAGCAGGCCACAGCCCACACCTTGATCTCGATGCCGGCGTAGAACTGCTTCCCCCTCATGTCCCACACGCCCTGGTTGGGCGTGGCCACGGTTTTGTTCTGTGGAGAGAGTCCCTACTCTCTTAGTCAACCCACCGCTTGAGTAAGCAATACAAAAGGTACAACACAGCCCGACCCACACTTTGATTTTCAGAGAAACCTGATGCATTAAAACCCCACCCAGCCCTAATGCACATTGCCAGACTTAAAGTATTCTACACATCTTGAGAGGCTCCAGACTGGTTTGATATATTCATACCAGTTTTACTATTTATGTTTTAAAGAGATTTGATAGGAAACACTTTTTTTTCTTCTTTCTTGTTTAAAGCTCTCGATCACTTTGCACAAAACATCAATTCCCCGCCAAACATTGTGAGGCTTGTTAATGCATCTACTCAAAGAGACCTCATTAAGCGAGTGCTCAGACTTTGAGATTGGTAGTGAATACAAATCCAAAGGGCAGTGGCTTTCAATTACGTTAACAAGATTTGCCAAAGACCATTAGGAGCTTTCATCCTCCAAGACAAGCGACAACAATGAACTACTTCAGAGGAGAATGCCAAGAAAAGTTAAGAGCTTCTTTGTCTTACTACAAGATACAAGAAAGATCGTCTAAAAACTGTTGAACATGGTTTCAGGATTAAAAACCACGTAAGAAATGATTGCAGGTTTTTGTCATTTCCCATCTCACATGATGTGCATACAGTCGCACCAGGGAGCGTCCAACTTTGTTTTTTTTTGTGAACACTTTGATGCAGCTGTGTGCACACCAACATCAGGCCATTGAATAAAATGAAAGTGTTTCGTTTAATTCATACACAGCGATCACAGAAATGGGAAAAGCTTTCAGTCTACACTTAAAGGCATTACACTGGAAGCTGATTAGACTCGATATCCCAGCAGGCAAGTGGAGTAGGAAGAGAGAGACAGTTGTGAAGGGATCTTCTGTAAATTAACCGACGTACAGTTCAAGCAGCCATTATCTGGATTTCAGCCCAGGACTGGTGAATATGTTGGGTTTTTTTTCAAGCAACAACCTGCTTTAATTCTGAGGAACAATTTTAAATGAAGTTCAGAGCAGCAGCCAAAGACTGAGGCAACCTGCCCACAGGGATCATTAAAGTTTCATCTCCTCAGAATCATTGAACGCCGTCACCAAACAGAGACTTTTATTCCAGCCCCTGTAGTATTTATATTAACATATTAATTTTCAGATGGGAGATATAAAAAAAAAAAAATCGAATTCACTCCGCAGGCTTTGGTGAATATTTCAGACAGGTTTCACTTCCATGCTGGGTGACTACAAGTCTTATCATCCTCCTATTGGCAGCACATCCAGTTTTCCTCCCATACACACAATCCTTGAATCTCAATTCAGCCCCTCACATCTTACAAGCAGAGTGAGTCTGTATTTTTCCCCAAAAAAAAAAAAAATGCATCTTATTATAAAATTATGCTTCCCGCTGATGCAAACAATGAGGCCTTTCACAGCCACACAAAATATTTTTCCACTTCTCCTCTGCATGCACCATCCAGTTTGGATCTTTGAGAAAGGCTGATTTGAGATTCAGACGGTGAATCTCAGCAGTCTGCAGTTAAGCAGCTCCTCGTCTCATTTCCTTCAGCAATACAGACACGACTGAATGTGACAAGTGAAAAGCCAAGCCCTCATCTACTCGCACCGTGGTGCAATTTACATATTTACTAGCCGAGTCAATGAAGGGGAAGAGTGTTTAAAGTAAATGCACACACTGAACAGACTGCTGAGCTTCACCACAGGATTATGAAGAGTGAAAGTTCCAGATCGCAGGAGCTCAATACCTCATCTAGTCACCGCCTGAGTTGATTGCATCAATTTAATTTCCAGTTAAACTCGCATGTAGTCTCTTTAAACAGACTCGACAGGCGAGGGACAAGATTTTTGGAAGGTAATTTCACATTAGAAGAAGACAGAATATTGGCCCTGGCATCTGACGTCTACACCAGAGGACCCAAAAAATCTATTAGCGACCCCTGCATACCTGGATCTTCCCCCATGCCCCCCCCCCCCCCCCCCCCCNTAGAAGAAGACAGAATATTGGCCCTGGCATCTGACGTCTACACCAGAGGACCCAAAAAATCTATTAGCGACCCCTGCATACCTGGATCTTCCCCCCTGCCCCCCCCCCCCCACACCTCGAGTGCAGCCCCTGCCCAGTACTCACCCTGCCGCAGTCCCGTCCTGTGTCTGTACTCACTCGGCCCCCATACTGTAGCATGGGCGCTGGGAGAACACGCCCTGTTACTTCTGTCATGTCATTGTGCACGACAATGCCAAATTCTTTCAGGTAAGGGTCCGGGCCCCCGACCATGCTGTTGCTTTTGACCTGGGAGAGGATGAGGAGGAGAAAAGGATTAACCGATTGAGGAAGAGAAGGACACAGTTTATTCTTCCAGGTTTTCTCTCTTATTCAGCATTTTAAAGAAGCAGCTGTTCAAAGCAGCAAGTAAAGCTTAAAATTTAAATTTCACCGTATGTTAGCTACTCTACCTGCATTTTGTACTCATACCCCAAGGGGGACAGTGCACTCACCAGTCTGCTGATCTCTTCCTGTCTGTCGGGGGCTGAGCGAGCTGTAGCTTTAATCATGGTGGATGTCTGGTTGTCTGTGAGTTTCTTGATACAGCGCTGGCCTGCTACGATGTTGCAGACCTACGGGAGCAGGGAAAATACTTTACTCAAACTGAATCAATCGAGTAAGAGGAACAAAGGCAGGAAATTAAACAACAGGGAAAGGTCACTGTTGCAGATGAAAAATAAATCCCAAGTATTCTCACCTCCAGGGGGAGATAGGTGTGCTTCTGTTCTTGCCCGACTTGCAGACAGGGTAAATGTGGATACTTGAGCTGAAGATTGTACTTCTGCTTGAAATACTGAGCTACTGTGCACTCCATGGCTTGGCCGTTCTCAAGCTGTAAGGGGAACCTGTGGATAAAGGGAAAGGTGAAGACACCAAAGGAAAATTGAAAGTTGCATTGCTTGCATGTTCACGAGGCCTCACAGTGTTGTGACTTCTTCTCTACATACAGTGTCGCTTTGCATAGTGTATGAAGTTGAACAAACTGATGAGAGTAAGAGCAGCGCTTACGTTTGGTGGCTGGCAGGTCTGCGTGTGACATTGCACACTCGATACTTCCTCTTCATCTGACCACAATGTGTGACCTCAACTTTCAAACCTTTTTCAAAACACAAAAGAAACAAGACGCAGTTAAACAAAATGAAGAAGAAAGGAGCAAGACATTTCCCTCCACCCCATCAACTGCCATTTTAAATATTTAGATGCATTTAAATTTAGCTGTTCTACTCTTCTTGTTCCTCCACTGGATTTTTAGGCCACGGTGAAGATTAATGCTGACAGGGCAGCCAGATGTGAAGAGGGATCTTTCCAGCTCTCTGCAGTTTCCTTGCACACAATTGTCATAACTACATAAAACAAACTACAAGGAGGAAGGAGAGAGTTTCTGAGAGTCTACAGCAGAAAATATGCAGCTGAAATTCCAATGTCTGGCTTTAAAATTACATCAAATCTGAATATGATTATGCATAAGGAGCAGATGTAGTTTAAGTTTTTACAAACTGCATAAAAAAAACACATGCCTATTCTTGCAGCCTCACACCTACATGTAATCTCTGGGGTGAACTGAATACACACTGCATGGGTCATACATGTTGTGTGTTTTATGTGTGCATGTTAATTCTAACCCTACTCTGATAAATTCAAAGCATGCACACATTATTTGGACTTTACCTGGCAACTGCCGCTCACCTCTAATTTCCTTGGTGAATTTGACGCGCTGCGAGTCTGTCAGTGGTTTGGTCTGTTCGTTGATGTTCTGTATATCCAGCACCTCGCACATGAACTCTATGACAGGCTGAGCACGGTAGAAAGCAGTGGCTGACACTGTAAAAAAAGAAAAAAAAGAGAGAGAGAGAGAGAGAGAGAGAGATAAGGCATTATTTATCAAGCAGTGTCATAAATTAATAAACACAACTGAAACAAAAAGAAGTCCAGGTTGGTTTATATCACAGGCTGAGTCTGGAGCCTCGGGGAGGGGGGGTAACATTAAAAATGGGCTCCTTCCATGCTCCTGCCATAAGGATGGTCCTCATCTCGACTGCTGGACATCTTTCAATTGGTCTGACTCTTCAATATACAACCAAACGTTATGTTTATTAACTCAACAATCACAGTCCTGAGTTTGTTGAATATTTAATATGACGAAAGATCCTTTCTTCAGAGCGGACATCTCTACCTTCAATATCACTGTATATTTCATTCCAATGATCATGGAGTAAAACAGGTGGAATGTGCTTGTACGTATTTCACAGATCGATTACCGAATCACACTGCATTGAGTTGCGGCAAAGGTTGAACCAGGTTTTTTTGCACAACGAACCCACATCTGTTGGTTTTTGCCACTTGAAAGCTGCTCTTATTTTCATCAGTGCAGCTGCACAGTGGCAAATCTCTCCAACTTAAACCCACAACAGTTAATTGTGGTCACATGTTCCCCACAAACATTACAGGATAAATTCACTTCTATTAATCTGACTGCTGCATTCCCTTTTTGAAACATCATATCACTTAACCCCTAAATAACCAGATCAAGTCACTGGGTTGAGCTTCAGACCAAATTTAAAAATCACCCACAGCTCTGAAGCAGATCATTTCCATTCAGGTCTTACCATCGATGTTGAGCATCATGTTCCACATGGCAGGACGGACGGACTGATGGAAACCAAACCACACCTCCCTGCCCCCACCAAGAGGATGGTAATAACCCTCCGGAGGGGAGAAAAACGAACGCCCAACTGGAGTGTACCTGTGTGAACCAACACAGAAGATAAATCAAAGATACGATCATCAAACACACAACTTTATTTCAACAAAACCAATATATAGATATTTGTGTGTTGTAGGCAGCCTCTCAGTTGAGATTTCTTTTAAATCCCAGTCTGTTAAAATCAATCACAGTAGACTGACAAACAGCTGGAGACAGACTCACATGACCCAAGACTATAAAATATAAATGTGGTTGAACGGCCTAAAGTAAAGAATATTCTGAGTGAAATGAATTATGAACTAAATGACCTGAATAATTTCTGTGTATGTTGACACGTGTAGAATGTCAAATGTTTGCAAAACAAAATGAAAAAGATATCAAATCTAATAAATGTGTTGAGTAGTTGGTTCGTGTGCGCACACACACAATAAGGTGAATGTCAATATCAGATTAAAATAGAATATTAGAGTATCTCATAACGCAGGAGTGTGTCGAGTAAATCTGGCGTGTAAGCTAAATTCAAGTCAAGACGTTAGATTTACAATTGGATTCAATGTGTCAGACAAGCAGTGTATTAGTTTTATAAAAGCTGAAATAACCCAGAGTCAATCCCATGAAAATATATTCATAGAACTGTAAAGAACAATGGAAAGATGAATCCATAAATCCGTCCATAGTAGATTTAGATTGTATTTGTTCAGGGAGACGCATGACGGCAGGAAATTAAAGCAATACGGTCAAATTAAAGCTGAAAAGCAATAACTCTCTGTGGCGAATGTGGCTCGTGATGCAGCGGAGACGGATGAGCAACGGTACCTCATGGAAGGCAGATGCCGCGTGATGACATCCAGAGCCTGAACAGAGTCCTCGGGGACCTCGTTGAGGTGGCCCGACAACGCATCCAGCAGCATCTGGAGACTGACCACGGACACCCACTGCAGGGACACCTTGAACGTCTGATCTTTCCCCTCGCCGGGCAGGGTCACCTCCAGATCCACCTGAGGACGGAGAGAGAGGGTGGGCGGGAGGGGGGAAAGGACGAAGGGAAGTGAGGCAAACAAAGGACGAGTGGGGAGAAATTGATTCGTTGATGGACAGAGATAAGTAAGAAATACCCCAGAGCAAAGCAGTCTGAAAAAAAGAGCAACACCAAAGAATCCTTGGTGAATCGATTTGTCTTTGAAACGACAAACGAGGAGGCAGAATTAATTTGTACACGGAGTCAACAGGTGTAAACAAGCAGAGAAAAATATACTTCATTCTGTTTATGAGAAGAAGCAAATTACAGATTTTTGCAGGGGGGGGGTTGTGTGTGTGTGTGTGTGTGTGTGTGTGTGTGTGTGTGTTTGTTTCTTCTTTTAGAAGTCTCACATTCTTCTTATCTGGAATTCAAGCTGGCAACTTTCCACTGACTAATTTACATAAATCAAGACTGCCTGCTCGAGCTAATCCACTGAACCACTTTACAAACCTTTCACTGAACAAATCATTTGGTTTAAATCCAAACACTTTCGCTCTTTGAATTCCTCCGAGCCGACAGATTTCTCTCCCTCACATGAATTAGTCTGTGTTTGGGACACAAGGGGAGGGTTCACGTGTTTAAGATACCAACCCTGTCTCTTCCTATTGGCAGTGGATGTGCTGTGTACATGTTCCTCTTCCCATCGTATCCAGGCTGCCGGTCTCCAAAGATCTGCATCTTGAAGTGCCGCACCATTGTGTCCACCACCTCCCTAGAAGGCAGAGACACGCGCACACACACACACCGGTGAGGCAATATTTCTATAAACAAAAACTTCTTGCACCAGAGAGTTTCTTCCCAAGTAGCCTGAGATTATGACAGATACAGATGCAATTGACCTTTCAAAATGATAAGAGACGAGAGAGAAGAGAAATTTTGCTAAAAAGTTTAAGGTTTTTACCTGTTGACCCTCCGAGGCCGTTTCTCAGGCTTGATGTCGATATCATAGTGATAGACATCAATCTTGGGAATCTGCACCTGGAAGTGGTTGGCAAGGAGCCGGATGGGTTTCCCCACCGTGCCGAGGCCGGGACGCCGCGGAGGCTGAAACAGAGAGGGAGGGGCTGGTGGGCCTGCAGAGAACGGAGAGAAAAGTGGTTTTCTTTTAATAAGCAGTGACACACCGAACAATCCTCTGCATGACACTGTTGGCTTAAACTGACCCAGCAACTAATACATGTCAACACTTTCACTTTCTTGAGTTTAAATGGTGAATACACACACAAAGTCTTTTATCAGTTTTACATCACATGTTAGAGACACTGCTGAACCCTCACATGGACAAGTTGCGGAACTTGTCCCGAGTTGCTAAACACGTGTATTCTCACATAGAGCCACTCTGGAAATGTTCAGGCAAACGTGCGGACATCAGTGCATGGCTGAAAGCAGCATTCGTTTTGTATTCTAATAAGGGTGGTGGGAGCGAGGACGCATTCATCTCTTCATTAAATGTCAAATTTGAAGGATGAATGTGCGGCAGACGCCAAGCTTGTTCCAAACCATCTCATCAGTGACACCTGCTTGAATGCACTGAAATGGCCTCGCATGTATACGCTTTGACTGATGTGCCACTGTGGTGCCTGACCTATGTGGGTCAACAAGGGGCTGGCGAAACAATGACAACAATTATCCTTCGGCCCGCCCCCAGCTCCACCCAAATACACAGGGCTCCCACCCCTCACGCCGAGAGACAAAGGGCGAGATCCTCTCAGACAGACAGCAGCAGGGCCATATGGAGGGGAGCCACGCGGAGGGTCTGGGATTACCGTTAAGAAGTGCACGCCACACACACGCATCCCATACACTTAACATATACTATGTGTTCGTGTATGTAGGCAGGTGTGATACCTGTGAATCCTACACTGCTGCATTAGTAGCTGCAGGCAATGAAGGTGCATTACGCCTGAAACGCTTTACTTACTCACAGCACATATGCACTTTAGACCTGAGGCCGCTCTTAGTGAAGAAAACCTGATAATAAATCATCAATCACATATATTAATGTAACGCGTTTAAATAAACGAAGGGAGGAAGCACAGATGTTGGTCAAATCTGCTAAATGCTCAAAGAGGACTCATAGAGTAGCTCTCTGTGCTTTGAGTCAGGACTAAAAGAGAACAGAAATCACACCCAAAACAAAAATAAAAACAGAAAAACAAAGTTAAAATAATATTTTCTTGGTGGTATTGAAGGAGGGGGAGGAGGCTGCTCAATGCTATTGTCAACTGACGGCAGAGAGACTGCAGGGGTCCTCCTGAACTCCATGCACCCGCACGCTCCAGTTAGCAAGTGAAGCGCAAGAACACAGACAATCGGGACCCTCCCCATCACTTCCTGAGAACACGCTTCCCAACATGCCCTCATGTAGCCTGGGCCCCAAATCACCCCCGCCCCCGACTGCCCACGCCTCCTTCTCCCACTCCTCCTTCCTCTGTCACACAAACAAACCATCAGCTTGATTTTAACATCGTTCCGCTTCACGACACAGTCCCACGTGAGAAAACGTTTGTTGCATGTGTGCTGTTTTTTGTCACAACTTAAAATCTTCAGATGATTTGCTCGACTTTGTTCTACTCGCCTTGATACTGATGGCAACACAAGTTTCTCCTCACTGTGCTGCAGCCTGGCAAAGCTTCACGTTGCATCATGTGTCGCAGGCACGATACAACATTTCAAGGGAACTAAAGTTAAACAGTAAATGAGGAACATTTATTCTTCCCTCCATTTTTGGGGTGCTTTGCGTCAATAGTGGGCGTGGAAAGACTCTGGTAAATTCAATTTAAGACTGTGACACCTCAGTTATTTTTGGAGGAGGCAACACGCAATGCTTTTTTTAAGACTTTAATATCTGAACATGCATTTCTATTTCTTCTGCTCACTGGGTGCATGCAGGTACAACAGAAAGGCTTTTACACTGCGTGTGAGTGTGTGTGAAGCTCAGTGAGTCCGAGGTCATCCTCTTCCACTTTCACCAAAAACAGACCTGTACCTAAATATAGCCTCCTCAGCTGCCACGCTACCACGTTTAGAAACGCCAGAACCCATCCTTACTCTGCAACTCCTCCATTTCACCCCCCATCAACACAGACACACCCAACTCTGACTTCCTCATTATCAATTAATTACGGTACTTAATCATCAAGTCTAGAAAACTTAAAAGCTCCTCAGTGAAAAGCAGTTGGGAAGCTGGAGATGGTAAATGATTGATAAAATAAACTGAAATTATTACTTTGATTATCTAACAGTTGCTGATTAACTTTCTGTCTGTGAGTTTTTAAATCAGCCTGTTACAGCTCTGAACGTGTTTGTAACTTGAACCACTCTTCTTTAAAAAGGGTTGTTTACAGGCACAACCGATAGCAACAAGAAAAATTAAGAAAAATAAAATGTCAACCTCAACTTCCCAGAGACCAATGTTGGCATATTCAACACATAACATTTAAATCATATATTATTTGTGTCCACTGACTTATTGATTCATCCTCTCAGATCTGACCTGATGACGTCAAAACAAATTCGAGCAGCAAAAACATGCAGCGCTGTGTTGGTTGGAACTACAGCAGTCAGGTCACCTCAGTGTTTGGTGCTCCACTATGACAGCACACAAGTTGTCCTGCATGCATTCAAACGAGGACATTATAGAGGCTCCTCCTGGTGAGGACCTCTGATGGGAAAAATATGGCCATGACCATTGAGGCCATCAACCATCAAAAACTTTTTTTTTACCACTTAATTACAAATTGAAGCAATAAAAGCTCAGAAGAATATGAAGAAAAGTATTTTTACTCTGGATAAAAATGCATTTTTTTGTGTTTTTAAACACAACTTTAGCAGCCATGTCCTACTCTTGAAACAGAGCTAGGTGTAACACAAGACACGCTGCAGACTCAACAACTGTGGCATTTAAGTGTCTGTTTAGTCACTTCAAGGAAGTCCCAACTTGGAGTCTCAGAGGAAGTGAAATTAGCTTTTCCTGGTGAACAACAGACGTATGCAGCTCTGGATCCAACATGACCACTAACTGGCACGTTCAAGGAGCGATGCAAACACGGAACATCACCTGCCCGTCTCACTGCTCTGATTCTCCCTTCAAAAACCATCAAAGTGTGTACAATAAAGTCACATTCGCAGAGCGAGGTTTGCGGCTCGTGCTCCAACACTATGCGTGTCCCTGGTAACCACAGTGCGATGGAGCCGTGGGACAGCTGGGCTTAAGCTGAGCATGAGCGTGATGGCTCGGCCTGGTGATGAGTCAGATTTAACAGCACTGAGGTGAGAGCGCTGTGACGCCCACAACCTTCAATCACCTGGATTCAAAAGGTACAACTGACCAGGTAGATGTGCAAAGAAAAGTTTATCTAACATTCACAAAATGCAAATATACACCCAGCAGTGTAAATATGTAGATGTGTGACAGCTCAAATTTGGATTATCAACAGAAACTGAGGATGTTTCTTCTATTTTTCTCCTGGCTCTTGCCTTTTAGGACCAATTTTTCATGAAATTGAGTTGTATTTGTTTTGGGATCCTCGTGAATCTCTCACTTCCACTGAAAACGCTTCAACGTCAGTTGGCCTCCATCTATACGTTTCCTGTGAGTCTGTATCCAAACACACTACTTTTTAACAGCTGGACCTCGCAAATGTGGAAACAAAAGAAAAAAGGCTGCTCTGTGAAATAACCACAACGCTGCTGCAAAAGCCCCCAATAATGACATGCTTCTTAAGAAATCTGCTAAAACTGAGCAGTTCTGTTGTTGAGCCGTTGCATGACAGGACATCCAGCTGTGGCGCAATGCAGCGCCACTCTCGTATACGACTTGGCTGCGACTACTTGGCCGATTTTAGAGGTGAAGTTTTATGATCTCATTTTAAGAGTGCGCCTCCTAATACAACTGCAACTCAAGTAGGATTTAGAGAATATTGAACATTACTTTGCAGAGTTGACCTTGAAAACAAGTTTTGTTCCTCTAATCTTACATTTATCAGACTTTAACTTTACGTTTGGACCTGTCAACTTCAACACGCTGACAAGTTTACATGAAAGTTTACCCATTCAAAGCTGTTTTCAAGCACAACGTGCTAAATGATCCACTTGCTTGCATCGCAAATCTGTTTGGCAACTGCATTTTTTTCTAAATTGGCCATAAAATTCATATTACTCATTACCAACCTATCATTAAGTGTTCATCATATTTGTGATATAAAAAATCTGCATCCACACAGGGTTGTAGACAATCATCAAATACAACAATAAAAAAACATGTGCTCGCTGATAAAAATGGTAGAAAGTAAAAGTTTAATTTGCTAATAAGCTGCTGAATTAAAACCACTAAGTCCTGCACTGATTGTGTCACACACACACACAC